TTTATTTGTCAGAGAGAGAGAGAGGGAGAGAGCACAAGCAGGGGAAGCGGCAGGAAGAGGGAGAGGGAGAAGCAGGCTCCCCATTGAGCAGGGAGCCCAATGCAGGGCTCGATTCATGACCTGAGCCAAAGGCAGATGCTTAATTGACTGAGCCACGCAGGCGCCCCAATGCCTATTAATTTAAAGATATCCCACCACTTCCTTCACCAACCCATTCCAATGTTGAAACTGGTGTTGCTCAGAAATATTCTTTCTGAAATGAATCATGCTCCTTCGAAAATTTATTTGCCCTTGTGTCACTCCTAGCAGAGAGAAAAAATTGCGTGGGGGAGTATATCATGGCATATTGGCATTGAAATATGCCCAGGGTCTACAGGATAGAAGCCAAGACCTGCCAGGCCCACTTTCTCCATGGTTCACTTTATATCATACATCCTGTTTGGGAAGCACATCCTTCCGTTATCCTAACAGTCTCCAGTGAGGCTTAAAACGAATGCAGCCTTTTGAGTGAGAACTCTTGAAGACTGATTCTAGTGTTCCCTATTTCCAGGTTTCTTGACCCAAGAGGGCAAAGGATGATGGCGATGTGAAGTAGAAGCAAATCTAGTCCTGCCTGATTTGTGCTAAACCCCAGACAGGGAGTTGTGAAGAACTGTCAGGAACACTCATTTACCAGTAGTTCTCAAATGTTTTAAAACTTTGGTCAACCTAAACAGGACAAAAGACTTATAGCATCAATTCCTACTTTATGGAGAAAAAGAAATTGGGGATAACAAAGATTTGGAGAGGAATTAAATAGCAATCATAGATAATATGTAAGGGGCACCAGGCTGGCTCAGTCAACGGAGTGTGGCTCTTGATCTCGGGGTTGTACATTTGAGCCCCGTGTTGGATGTACAGATTACTTAAAAATAAAATCTTTAAAAAAAGGTAATATGTAAGTGGTTATGTAAAAACAATAGGCTCAACAAGCAAAGCCAAACATTCCTTAGTACAAGACCAGCAACTCTAAACAACTCTAATACAAGTCTAAAGCAACTCAGCCTGATCCTGATGTTGTCCTGGTCACCGAGAATCTTTCCTGGAAACAGGGAACCCCAATTTTTGCACATAGAGGACATAGGAGGGCTGTGCAACATTGCTAAAAGTTGTATGGTGTCCTAACTTAGAATACTATACATATATCCCCATCTGAGGCCTCAGTACACTCCAGTTACCTGGTCATTTTAGAGCACAAATACTAGGTTTCTAATGCTTAGCAGCTCATTTAATAGGTCATTAGTAAGTACCACTTGATGGTAAGTAAGAATAGAAGTTAATAGCATTGCCTTTGAAGATGGACTTTTTTGTATGAGTTTGCAACCTCTCTCGGAAAACACTTTTGGTCTCTTGTTTAACAGTTAAATAAGATGGAGGGATGGTTAGAAGGGGCAGCTGAAACACAGGAATAATAGTCTCTGTGAGGCTCCCTGTGCATTTTTTATTTTAAAGATTTATTTATTTATTTGAGAGAGAGAGAGAGAGAGAGAGAGCTGAGCCGGCAGCCAGACGCGGGACTCTGAGATCTTGACCTGAGCTGAAAGAAATCCAGAGTCGGCTCCTTAACCAACTGAGCCACCCAGGCGCCCCTCCCTGCGTAATATCATGATGTGCTTCTCCTCTGTGTATGTTCAGGCATAGTTTTCTTCCTAAAGATTTTATTTATTTGAGAGAGAGAGACAGAGAGCAGGAGAAGGGAGGAGAGGGGGAAGCAGACTCCCCGCTGAGCAGAGATTCCCCCCCCAAACACACCTGATGGGGGACTCGATCCCAGGACCCTGGGATCATGACCTGAGCGGAAGGCAGACGCTTAACCAACTGAGCCACACAGGCGCCCCAGGCACATTTGTTTTATCCCATTCCGTCATCCACCCGCACCCCCGCCCCCACCCCCTGACTGCTTCTTACTGTCTGGCCCAAGCCCATCTTTGCTCAGGGGTCTCCCGATCTCATCCCCTTCAGGAAATCTTCCCTGCTCACTGTGAATGATTTCCTAAGGATCAATACCAGCTACCATTCGAAGGCTTGCTAAGTATTAGGCCCTTCACAAATGCTCATTATCTCCCGAAACCTCACTCAACCCTGCAAGGTAAGGAGTCGGCACCCCTTTTTATAGATTTCTCGAAAACAAGGTTTTGGAGCAACAAGGCCACAAAGTGGAAAGCGATGGGGGCGGGACTCCACCCTGGAGCATCTGGCCTGGGTGCCCAGGGCACGTCCGGGCCCAGCGTACGCCCCAGGTCATGGCCTGGGGGCTCTGCCACCCCGCTCTGCTCCTGCCCCCACACGAAGTGCCAAGTGTCCAGGACTGGCCGGCGGCCGCCTCCGCTTCCCACCCAGCTCTTCTGCTTAGGATGAGTTTAGGGCTTTGCTTTATTTTAAAGCTTGGCACTTTTTTCCCCTTATTGGTTTAAAAATTAAAAAAAAAAAAAAATCAAAACTAGCACATTGTTTAACAATCCAAAAAATCCTGAAGCTTCAAAAGCAGAAGTGAAAAATGTCCCTTACTTCATGTTTCGTTTCCGGGCCCCAACCCTACCTTCCAGATAGGACTAGTATTAATTGTTTAGTGAATACGTTTTCAGACTTTTCTGTATGTATATATATATTCCGCCCCCCACCTCCGGCCCCCTTCTGTATGTATATAAATGTGTGTGTGCCAGGCGCCTGGGTGGCTCAGTCGGTTAAGGGTCTGCCTTGGACTCAGGTCATGATCCTGGGGTCCTGGGATGGAGCCCCATGTCAGGCTCCCTGCTCAGCGGGGGGTTCCACCCTCTGCTCCTCCCCCCGGGCTCATGCTCTCTCTCTCAAATAAATGAATAAAATCTTTAAAAAATGTGTGTGTGTGTGTGTGTGTGTGTGTTGAGGAAGTTTTTCTGACTTCTCAGATTTCTGTGATCTATGTATCTTTATTCTTTTTTTCTGGCAAGTTTTCTTTTATTGAATTTTATGCATATAATTTTGCCAGTAAAACAAAAAGTAAAAAATAAAAAATAGATAATATGGTACAACCTGCCAAAATAATGATTGATATTTTTTCATTCCATTAATGTATTTTTTTTTATTGAGGTATAGTTGATTATAGTTGATATGACATTAATTTCAGGTGCCCATATGTATCTTTATTCTTCATCGCGGTCCACAGCAAATCATAAACTGCAGAAGGATAAGAGAAAAGTACATTCAGTCTATGGGGCACCAACCAAAGGAACACCTATTCCTGATGGGAGTATAGGAGCACTGGAGCTGCAGAAGGGGTGGAAGGCGGGATCCCTCCAGGGAGCCCCCGAGGTTGCCAGAGGGAAGAGCGGTGAGCTCTGGGGAAGACAGCTTGCTGCCCGGCCGGCCTCACAAGCAGCTGGCTTGACCTGCCGGGGTGTGCTCACACTCCCCGGGCTGTGAAATCACTCGCGTGTGAGTGGTCTGGTGCTCAGGGGAGGGGGGGGTGGGGAGGCAGGAGGCGGAATGTGGGCCGGGCCAAGTTTAGGATTACAAGTGCGGCTGGGGGTCAGAGCCACACTTTAAATAGCCAGCACCTTCCCCTTTCCCCTTAGATAATTCTTCTCCCCCGACTGGACCTCTGGCAGCAACTGCACTAAGGTTGGTGACATTTTCTCCTCTCTCGCTCTCTCTTTCTTCTGTTTCTGGGTCTCAGACTACAGGTTGGTAAGATCATAGGACTTACAACCAAAGGATTTTTTGATCCTTCTCGAAAATATGTCCTGCCATTTATGTGTGCATGTGCAAAGACTAGATGCTATATTCTGGGCTTTCTGAAGCTCCAGTGGCCGTGGACTTGAGGGACCATGTGCTTCAGAGGACGAGAACCCTAGACTGAGAGGAAAGAAAGGCTTTCTTCTCTGTGAGATGAGACAATGAACAACTCTTTGGCAAGACTGAAAGAAAATAAAAATTTGAGTGCCTGTTATTCTACTAAGTGCTTTACTTTATATATATCGCTTCACTTAGTCCTTCTCACCTTCACAGAGGAGTGAACCGAGGCTCAGAGTAGTTAATTCACTTCCCCGGAGTCAGCGAGTGGTACAGCGCAGAGCTAAGATCTGTGCCCGGCTTGTCTGGTTGTACACCTTCTGATGGCACTGCGCCACCTCTGAGAAGCAGTACCCTAATGAGGCCAGGGACCCGGGAAGACTGCTGTTTCTTCTAGGGCCTGGGAGGATGAAAGAGTGGAGGGAGATGACGTTCCACCATAGGACAGCACCCGTCGGTTGGTAAAGGGAGGCTCAGAACCAGCACAAGACGTTAGACAGTCTTCTCGGAAGGACTGAGGAACCTTCTTGGGACCAGCTGGTTGGGTTTCTCCTTCTTAGCTCACAGTCTTTGGAGCTTATTCCCTAATTTATCAAATAAGCAAAGGTGCCTACTGTTCCTTGACTTTCTCCGTGACTTTTTGAATCCCTGTGGTAGCCACGCTGGGGAGGCGGCGTCAGAGGGGAGTCTGGGCAGGTGAGGCTCCCACTGAGAAAGTGCTGTTAACGTGAATTTTTCTTGAGGCGTATGAAAAAGTCCATCTGCCTACTTCTCCAGAAAAAGGACCATTGTATAGAATCAGGAGGGAGTCATCAGAAGATGCTATTGAGACATGCTGGGAATGGAATGGAATGGAATGGAATGGAATGGAATGGAATGGAATGGAAAGAGCAGGGACAGAGTGGGTTCAAGTCCCACCTATGCCGTCGCCTGGCTGTAGGGTAGCAAACATGTTACTTTACCTCTCTGAGCTGCAGCTTCCTTATTTACAAAGCAGAGCTAACACTGCTTACATATCAGGGTGGTTGTGTGGATTAAAGGAAACAAATACATGTAAAGAGCTTAGTAGTAGTTGCTCACTAAATGTGAGCCATATCCAATCTTACCTTCAATCCCAGTAAGAGTCTAGAAGAGGGCAGTGAAGCATTTGGAACAGTGGCTCTTTATTTATACCATAACAGATTCCTATGTGTGTCATCACCAAAAAAGAAAAAAGAACCCATAGTTCATCTTTCTCTTATGTTGACTTTAGAGAGACATGGAAGATCAGCCCATCTTCATCAGAATTCCAGGGCCCACTCAGCCTCTCTCATCCTTTGGGAGGATTTTTAAATTTTATTTGTTTTTAAAATGATGTTGCCATTTTAAAAAAAAAAAGTTTATTTATTTACTTGAGAGAGAGAGAGAAAGCACAAGACGAGGTAGGGTCAGAGGGAGAAGCAGACTCCCCACTGAGCAGGGAGCCCGATGTGGGACTCGATCCCGGGACTCTGGGATCATGACCTGAGCCGAAGGCAGTCGCTTAACCAACTGAGCCACCCAGGCGCCTGCGAGGATTTTTTTAAAACTTGTTTTTATTTTAATATTATAAAATAAATCATGTTCTTTGATGAAAATGTAGAAAATAGAAATAAGGAAAACATTCCTATAATCCAACCACGGAGAGAGAACCATTTTGGTGGCTATCCTAATCTTTTATTGTATACACTTTATAAAATATTTTCCACGCATAATCATATCATAAATGCTCTTTTATAACTTTTTGCTTCACATATTGTGAACACTTTCATTTCATTACATTTTCTTCTGCAACACAATTTTTGATGATTGTATAACAGTCCAGTGTATGTATGTGCCATAATTTATTAACCTATCTACCATTTTGGGACATGTATGTACTTTCTAATTTTTTGCTGTTGTAAACAATGGACATCTTCGATGCCAAATCCATAGCCACAGTCACAGCTATTTCGCTAGACTAAATTCCTGCGAGGGAAGTTGGTGGCCTTGAGGATCCTTTCAGCTGTCCCCAGCATGCAGAAATACAGACACTGAAGGGCATGCTAACACAGACGAAGTGAGTCGTAGGCTGGCAGGGAGAACTTAGACAACCCAGCGGCCATGTGAAGTCTTCCATATCCACAAGCCCCAACCCAAGAGGACCTGCCGAGTGGAAGCCATGCCTGTACCTCAGTATTCATGCTTTCTTCCCGAACAGGAAAGGAATATACATTCGCAGCAGCTGTTCCTCAGCCTTTACCAGTAAGAGCTGCTAAGGAGAACATGGGTCTTCAGGCAAGGGGATAGGGACCTACTTTTTCTTCTAGTGCACTCATTGCCCTGGGAATCTGCTGGTGAAGGAAGGGGAAGGCTTTCCTCCTAGGATTCCCAGCAGCAACAGAGCACTCTGCTTGTTTTCCAGGTGGGATGGATAGCAGGGTCTCGAGCACAACCAGTAATGGAGAGACAAAGCCAGCATACCCAGTCATGGAAAAGGCGAAGGAAGATGGCACCCTGGAACGGGGACACTGGAACAACAAGATGGAGTTTGTGCTGTCAGTGGCCGGGGAGATCATCGGCCTCGGCAACGTCTGGAGGTTTCCCTATCTATGCTACAAAAATGGGGGAGGTGAGAGCCACTGCGCCACCCCACCCATCCCTGGAAGGAGGCTGTCTCCAACTCCCGCACTTACTGCCCCTCTGGGGAGTTCCATGGGTGCATAGAAATGCTGGAGTTGGAAAGACCCTTACAGGTCAGGAAGGACACTGCAGGAGACTGAGACCTAGAAAGTCACGTGACTTTCCCAGGGGGTTTTCTGTACTGGTATGGCATCCTAGGAATATGAACGTGGGTTTGGAACCAGATGGATCAGAGTTCGGACTCTGGCTCTGCTACTTAATCTCTGTGTAATCTTTTTTTTTTTTTTAAAGATTTTATTTATTTATTTGAGAGAGAGAGAATGAGAGACAGAGAGCATAAGAGGGAGGAGG